CACTTAATCCAGGAATGATGAACATAATGCAATAATTGCAAAATAATAAGAATATAGAGAAGGCCAATAAACTGTTATTGAGATGAATGCAGCAGTCAAATAGAGCAGATCTGGAGTGATGAACAAGGCTCTCAGTATGGCGTAGTGAAAATATTGTAACACAAATTGTAAATCCTGAAATTAGAGCAAATACGATGGATATACATGTTCTCCATGCTTCTACTGACAATTGGTTTTTCGGGGTATAATTACGAGAAATTGTGAGAAATTCTTTGGTTATTGCCGAACCTTTAAGAATGAAATGTAGTCTCATAAGAGAGGAAAACAAACCGCAAGCAAACATTGTTATCGTTACTTTATTCTTAAAACCTTTATGATAGATATTGTAAATGTTTGAAATCGTAAAATAAAGTGTTAAAATGTTAAAAACAAAGTATACCAGTCTCTCAGCCCATTTTAGCATTCTTTTGAACTGCATCTCTTCGGGGTAAGGTACTCCTACAACTGAAAAAAATTTGAATATCAACAGTAAGTTACTGTAAATCTCCGAATTGTAGGAAATTATAGAAGTTTGTTCGATACATCTCCGTTGTTGCTTTAACCGTAACATTTTATTTTTTGAATATTTAATTCTTTTCGTAATTACAGGCCCGGATTTGAAGCTAAATATAAGAAAAATCCAATTTAATTTCTACTGTAACTTTATGGTTTAGTTTACAAAACCAAAACCATTTTCTCAGCGAATTTAAAGGAATTACACAACCGATAAAACAGCCGATCAACTAAATCGCTTTCAGCCAGATGTATTCTTTCCTGATTTGTTTTACTGTATTTTTCTATAAACAGACTCTTTTTATGCAAAACTGAACGTTGACTACAACAAATCTTCAATTCTTTCTTATATTCACTGCCTTTTTTTCGTAAAGAATACATGACATGCGCAAAACACATTTTTTATTAAAAGCAAATTTGTTGCCATCAATAAAATTTAAGATAAGAACAAAATTTCGATTAAGATAAGTGTGATATCAATCACTAGAAAAAAGCTGCCGTAATAATTAACAAAAGACCTTGGCATATCTTATTTTTCAGAGTGAAGGGAAGCCTCTAATCTGTTATGAAGCTGTTGCTAAGTTACATACTGATTTTTTGTTGCTGTTGTTATTATGTGCCATTTTAACAAAAACAAAGAAGAAATAACTTTTCTATTTGTGAATAACGATGTTTGTCTGAGATTAACTTACTACTGTTCGAAGCATTTTGTTTGTTATAACATGATAAATCATTTTTGACTTTGCAAGAACTGTATTGTATTTGATGATTACATAGCGAAATCATATTGTACGTCTCTTCAAAAAGAATTAGTTTCAAAGATAATAGCCATACATGTTTACTAAGAAACCCGTTAGTTACGGAAGGATTTATAAAAAACATTTTAAATTACACCTTCCGGATAAAATGCATCAAAATATATATAATATATAAATAAAGATCGAAATTATATAATGTTATATATTATATATATAGTTATTTCACTGATCTTTATTTCCATGCATATAAAATCACCTCAGGAGATATTTATCCAATCATAATGAAATCCGACACATTTCTATGATTCAGTCATAATGAAATATAATTAATTTCTATGTATTTTGGTTTTTAACGAGAAATGACGAAAGCAGTTAAGCAAAGGAGAAGCGAAGCGATGTTGACAGAGCAGCAGTTAAGGAAAGGAGGAATAATGCAATTAACTCGCCAGGGTATTTGTACTAACTTCTGAGATATAAGTAGAGCTAGTCTGTGATTGGTTAATGTTAGCTTTAGTTGGCCTTTTCCAGTATCGTTACATAACATAGAAAGATCTCGAATTTGGGAGAACAGAAGAATTTAGGAGGAGATCACTAAATCTAGAATGTTAAGGTTGAGGTTGTCAATTATTTTTTAAAGCAGCTATCATATTTTGTTATATATTACATATATATACTTTCCTATTGCATAAAATCTTCCTCATATGTATTTAAAAATTAATGGGGATTCCATATGGAAACTGTATACCATGAATATTAGCAGAATTTTAAGCAATGATAGATGGCAGAAATGATGCCTATTACATTCAGTTCTCTAAAATGTCTCTTTGACATTTGTAATTTGCAGCCCACCATCGTTACTAGATCCGCAATTTTGTTTTTTTAAATCATGTTATACCAAGTATGCCGTGAGAATTAAGCTAATTATTTTCTACATTAAAATGCATTTAACAAAATCGTGTAACTTCAAATCTTTCTATATACACATTTTTACATATATTTTTAGTCTAAAGAAGATGGAAAATAATAAAGAAAATTACTGATTCTGAATCTAAGGAAGATATTCCTTCTAATCACCGTAGGGAAAAATACGTAATGTTAACTTTCATTAAAGCTCTTCCGAATGTACCCGGTAGTATATGATCACGTATTATTCATTTAAACTTCTATTTGATTTTAAAACCTCACTTCTAATAATTGACTGCTAGCAATATATTAGATGTTTGATTTAGATATCTATTAATAACCACACGATGCTTAAAAATATTATTGATAAATAAAAAACAGTTAAATTTTAATAAATTAGAATAAACTATTATTGAATTGAAAAAACTATTAGAAATTTCCCAAAAAACAATTGGTTACAGAATTCGTTTTCGATCTATCAGATGGTATAAAGTTGAAAATTCTGCAATAAGAAGTATATAAGAAAAACTAAATACTTTATTCTAAGGATTTTTAAAAAAATGCTCTGTACAGGATTAAAAAATTTATTTGAAGGTTAAATGTAATCAAATAAACTATAGAAAACAGATAAAGCAAGCTGAACAAAAATCCAAGTTATAAAAAGTATTTTTCCATTGATAATCTCAATCAAGAATAAAGTTTTTGAAATATTTCTATGACTATAAGGATGGCCTTATTTATTAGTTACTCTGTATAAATCAAGGAAAGATAAACGTACGTTTTACTGGAAGCCGAAGGTGAATATTTTTTATTGGAACGAACATAACATCTATCGAAATTTACGAGTTATTAATGAGAGATGCTTCGGAGATCCTTCTAAAAAAATTGCTTCGTTTCCTGGCAAAAATAGGGAAAATCCTACAAATGTTTAAAATGTTTCTCAGGAGGCTGATCAGTTAAATAACTATGTTAATGCACTTGTCGGACATTTACTTAAGGAGAGGACATCATATTTGCATTACATATAGGAAAGATTCGGAACTAAATCTGTAGCTTTCAGAAAATCCATAGCTGATCTTCTAAGAAACTTTACAAACCTGAATAAATAAAGAATAATCCACATTTTTAGTAGGTTGCTAATGGCTCTTCTAGAGTCGGAAATCAAATAAGAGGCAGAATTTATCTACGCGGTTGATAGTGGAGGCAGATCAAATTCGTTACAGTAGGATTAATTAATTCATTAATCCTTTTCCTACAATTTTACTGATAAACAGGTTAAGATACTAATGGACTATCAATACACTACCATTAAATGTAACTATGAATTAATGTATCTGTTGAATATATTACTATCAATTAAATGTAAAAAGTTTGCAGTACATTACACATTGGAATCTTAATCGATTAAATTCAATCCCAAGTAATATTTTTTCTAATTGGAAGTCTTTGCGAAATATAGACACTCGAAATATGTCAATATGAAAGTGTTACCGTATTATTCTATTGAACAATAAAGAACAATATAACATAATATATTTCAAATGTATTATTTACTACTTAACATCATTTCTGTGTAATTTCATAATCAACGTTCATGCCAAATTTGTAGTAGGTAAAAGTATGGGTATGTGCAACAGCAGAAGACATTTTGAACCATTTACTGTGTCGTGTTAATCACATTATATAACAATACGAGGAATTATCATAGTGAAACATAAATAATAAAACTATTCTAAATTTCAGAAAGTTGCGTTGTGATGCAAAAAAAACCCATTTTGTGACTAAGGTCCAGAGTAAAAGAATTAATTACAATAATTACAACAAGGTAAGTAAAATCAAACTAACGTTTATTTTTTTGTTAAAGGATATTTGGTTACATTTCTGATAGAGTCATGATACTCAATATTTCCATTACAATTATTAAGAGGTGGCTGGTTAATAACCATAGCTGAAGAACACAAAAATATAAAACATACCTTTTAAAAAGAAAACAGGCTCAGAGGGGCCCCCATAACTTTAAGGGAAGTATGGAACTATTCACACAAAATCTTGAAAATAATAGCAATTAATAGATAACAAAAGCGAGAGTCTGTTGATAGAGAAAGAAAATACAATAACCTTGGATTCCTTGCTGCACAATATTCTGGTCAAAACCAAATGTAACTAGAAACAGTCATACCATTAACCGTACTCTCCAAGATCTTTATAGACAAGACTATCGATAACACAGCCATAATTTCATGAAGTCGCCGTATGTGTCCGGATCTTGCAGTTACAAGAAGACCTTTTTTTAGTTTATAGTAATCTATAAAAATTTTAAATCCAACTATAGTAAAAGTCCTGTTTTTTATAATGTATTACTAATTGAGAAGATTATATTTGGCTTTTATCAAAAGCATATGCTTTCTAATAAAAGTTTCAATGTAGATTTATTTAAAAGAGATTATTTAATTTTAATATTAAATGAGCGAATGGAAAATACCAGCGTGCTTTAAAAGACATTGACTACTTTATAAAAATATTTGTTTCTGTATTATTACAACTGCTTCAAAGAAATAATAATGTACCATAATCACACTTATTCAAAAATATTACTTCATTTATTAACACCGTTAATTTTAAATCGGTAACACTTCCTTAAACAAACAGCTAAATCTTGTCTTCAATGAGAACATGAAATAAGAATCTTAGAAGAACAGAAGCCTGTTACAAACTTGCACTACTCAACTCCACCCAAACTCAGAAGACTCGTTGCAACAATCTGATGAGATTTGACCTTCATTATTTATTTATTTCCTTTGTTCCATAAAGGACTTTTTTTTTTTTTAATTTTTGGAACTTTTGATATAAAAGGCGAACTTGGAGAGCACAGATTTATCTTCTTGACTCTAAGAGCGAGAAAACGTCAATATGCAATATTTGGTAAGTATATTTTACTTGAAATTCATTTCGATTAAACTTATAAAACTTTTTTTCATTACTTTTATATAAAAAACTTGCTATAATCTTTTATAATTTTAAAATTTGTGTTATTTAGAGCTGTAATGATCTATGCACATATAAGTCTTAGAATATTCCATTGAATTATTGATATGACAGTATACACAGAAAATTCTCAATGATAAGTTCGCATTTTGAAACTAGTCAAAACTTTTGCTAAACCCCGATTTTTTCAATAATAATGAAAGAGAAGAATATGAATCATAGCTTATTTTGATCAGATTAATCCGGATTTTCCGAAGAACTTAACTGTTTTTCTTGTTAACGAAAGAAACTTCCAATTATGTATATCTTTTATATTCCTTAAAGTTAAATACGAAATTTTCACGAGATGTTCTTTTGTGCTGATGTACTTCTATCTTTCAACTAATTCATTTAATTTTACCATTTCTCCTCTGAACTCATATTAAAGACTGCAGTATAATGCTATCCACTCAAGAAAGTATTTTTTGCAATTTCTACCATTTCATATAATACTTACAAAAGATAAATTTATTATAGTTAACGATGCAAAAAACCTAAATGTTCACTAAAAGTCTAAAAAATTAGAGTTTGTTGCTAAAATTAGGAAAGAAGAAATCCCCAACCTTTATTTAATTGACAAACTGAAACAAAACACTTCTGGTAGAAATGTTTTCAACACGATTGCCACCTGTATATAGCACACCATGCCCACAAAAGTCCTTACTTGGCCTTTATTTTCGCAACCGTTGGACGTAGATATACATTTCCAATTGCAAAAGTGATTTGAATGATATTTTTCATATTTTTAAATATATAAAAAATATTTTAGTGTGAAATACAAAATCTAGCTTTTTATACGTTCATCCAGTCCCTGTACTTAATTATTTTTTATATTTTGTTTATACTTTATTTATTTTTTATAGTGAGTACAAAATTTTAATAAATTTAATATTGTTTACAAAAAAATAAAACACGAAATGTTTGACTTCCGTAAGACAAAAAAAGGCCAATATATTTAATTTCAAAATTCGCGATATCTGACATTTTTGAAAATCTATTAGAATAATTCGAGGTCGATTTTTTTCTCCTGAAATGCTTTTTGGAATTTAGTAGTATCTGTATTTATATTCATGTTACACTTGTTATGGCGATAGAATCTTCACACAAGAGCTTTATAAGTTTTCTTAAGTCTAAAAAGCAGTTAAGGCGCAGTTAAGTCTAAAACTGAGTTATTTTTATTTTCACAAAGTTTTGTTGCTGTATAATAATATACTGGTAATCGTAAAAAAATCATTTAAGTACAAATATTTTGCATTTTTAATTAACGCAACCAACATTGCGAGTTCTGCGCCAATGCGCACTACGATAAAGTTTACTGTATTGTCAATCGTCAAGTCTGATTGCTGTTGCTTTCATTTTTATTGTACTAAAACTTAATCTTGTAAAAAATAGCAAGTTATTCTACTGAGAAGTTCAAGTCTCGTAGAAATTAATATTAACTTCAAATAAAAGTATATCACCCAAGAGAGATCGAGTGAATAATCCTGATGAATACTGATAGCTCCACTTGTGGGGTTCTTAATCCAGTAAAGAATCTCTATTGATAGTTTTAATTTTTCATTTATTGAGTAAAACATGGGAGTAGCCTGATATTTGAATGAAGTAGATTTTAGTAAATACATCCAAATGTGCAATATTTTTAAATATTCCATTCAGGCAACTGTATCAATTCCTAAGTCCACTTTCATATACATTTATGCATTTATGAATTCTACGTTAAACTTCTCTTAATCTACCGTTCACTAGATATGTAGTGTCTGTATTTGACGACTATCACTATCACACTAAGTCACCGCACAAGCACTTTTCCTTCAAACATCGCCATTACAATATGGCAAGCATTTTTTATATCACTTAGTTTATCAATCAAGATACTTTTAAGTACATTCTAATGTTCAAATGATTTTTGTTTTATATATTCAAGTATCGTAGAAATATTTTTTTTCCTTCGAGAAATGTTTCTTTCTTAAAAATCAAACGTAATAGAGAGTAATAACTCGAAGCAAACGTCATCGAAATCTGTCAACTACAATTATAATACCGTTGTTACTATACTCTAGAAAACCAAACAGAATGAGAAAATACAACTTTATGTTAAATATTAATCTACTTCATATTTTTTTATTTTGGGGTCCAAAAACATTCTTAAATAAATTTATCCTGTGATCAGCACCATGCGATTTATTTGATAAAAATAGAATAATAATACTAAAGTGATATAAATTTATAATTATTAATATCCTTTTTTTAAAAAAAACATGGTTTTATAATATTTTTACTTTATAAAATGTTAACTTATTTTTGTTAATGTGCTATAGTTTGCTGTCTTGGTTTTGGTTGCTTTGGTGGCTTGTGCCTTTGCACAGTATTGGCCCTACTACGGTGGTTACTATGGAGCTGCCCATACCTACAACTATGCCTATCCATCGGCCTATAATTATGCCTACAACCCCGCTCTCTCCTACTGGTGGAAGAAGTAAACCGATTTCACTTGGTAAGTATTCTTACAGCGGAGTGACATTCATAAGAATGCATTTCAATGAACATATTTTAACCAATATCTGAATCTTCAGATTCACGTAACTTAAGTTATTTTTCAAGTCAAACAACACAAATCACCGTTATATTCGAAAATATATTACTTTTAAAGCGCAATATGATCTCACGCATGTGGATTCTTCTAGTGAAATATTTAGAGAATAATCACATAAAATCATTAAATATTTATAACTTAGCTCAGGACTAGAATCTCAGATGAACAGACGTGGATAGGCTTAGTTTTCCAAGATTTTCTTTGCATATAATACAAATGTCAGAGTTCAATCAAATTCTAATTAATCCGTGAGTAATATCATTTTCCTAAACCCAGTTGTTATGCATATTATTCAACTTAATATGTTTTAATAACTTAATATGTTACCTGTACTCTTAGCTTATATTCATCTTGATGTATGAGCGGGCAAAATCAGTGAGATCTAAAAAAATTAGCACCGGCTAATATCTCAGGTAAACGAATCTGGTGTGTCTAATTTTAAGATTTTTTTCTTCACGACTAAAGCAAAATCAATAAGTTTATTCTCAAAACGACTTGTAGCTCTTTCTTCTTAATAAAATGATATTGTATTGTTTGATACTATTAAATAACAGTCAGTTATATTTATTACAGTAGCGGTTCCCAGTTTGTGGTCTGTGGACCACAAGTGGTTCTTAAAGCCTGCCTTTGCAGTTCTTGTTTGATTTCCTAAAAAGACAAAAACTAAAATTTAAAATGAACTGTGTATACCACAGCATAACTGAAAATTTCAGAGTTTGTAAATTACGCGAGGTAATTATCTATCACCTTTTCTCGTAAAAATGATATTTTTGAAATTTATTACTGGCTACCTAACTATGGATTTCCCGCTTTAGAATTAACAACAAGCGAAGAATTTAAAGCTGTACGATTGTGAGGTTTCCTACCACTATATAACCAAACATAGAACAGCTATGCAAGAATCGGCCTCGTTCATCCATTTCACTGATAATAGTACCAACATTTATTTAATTTTTAGTTAAAAGGTAAAGATTAGCCAATCTCTCTTGAATTATTAAAAACAAATATATATTTTCTTCTGTTAAATACTTAATATCAATACAAAATTAAATGAATTTTTATTCGTTGTATTTTTAAATGTAAGAAAACGAGTATAATATGCTTAAAAAATTGCTTTCGAAGAGGACAAAGGTAAAGTGGTCCGCAGAATATTCTAATCTATAAACGTGGGCCCCACTTGAATAAAATTTTGAGAAACGCTGAATTAAAACACCGTTTCTCGTTTCTGATAATAGTCTATATGCTGCCAAAATTTACTGATATTAGCACTATTGAATTTTGTATTACAGCTATACCTCCTGGCATGCAGATCTCAACACACGAGAATAAATAAGTTTTTTCTAAAATCTCATGACATTTTTTTTAAATTAAAAGATTCTTAAATATTTTCTCAGTAACTCATTATATTAGTTAGCATTGTCAATCTATTCAGCTTATCACGTTTTAGGACAGAAGCTTAGGATAACGAGCCGAAACAATTGAATCGTTAATTATGTATTTTGGGCTGCAGTTTGATGATACGTTTCAAAATTGTGGAGAAAATAAAGTTATACTTGAAAGCTGTAAATATTTTCGTATTTAGATAACGGTTTCGTTAATTGATTAAATGAGTTTTAGTTTTAATTCACTTCTTACGGTAATAACTCTTTTCCATATTTTTATAAAATGCATCTCATTTGTTAGATATTGATGTACAATATTGCAGAATCATGGATGTTCAAGAATTTAAATCAGGAGCTCGAATTTATAGGCGAGCACGTTTTTCAGTTTGTTTTATTTAATAATATAATTTAATAAATTATATTAAGATTCTGGTTCATTAAATTAAAAATTACTTTTAATGTAATTTATTAAATTATATTAAGAATGCACCAAATTTTTAATTGATTTTAAAATTAGGAATTAAATTTACTGATTAATGTTAGCAGTTATTATAATATCATTTTCTTTATTCAAAGTTAAATGCTTTTGAAGAAAGAATGTTAACAATAATTTTTTGTTTGCTTTTTTGTTTCTCAAACTGCAGTTTAAACCCATGCTATATTGCATTATCAGTTCTCTACAGCATTATTTACTGGGCTAAATAAAAAAAGTATGAATTTCACTTTAAATTAAATCTGTGCATAAAATATAAAATTTAAAATGCAAATTACTTTCATAATTAAAATACATGTCATCAGTTTGTGCAGAAATATATTACTAATTTCATAAAACATGGAAAAGACCTTTGCTTATAATTTGGCCTTTTCGAGTTTAGCTCAATACATGTATTTTAAAAGTATTATATATAGCTAACACAACATATACTTACGGTATATAGTAGTAACTGTGTGCAGTACTTTCTATCAATTAATTATTAAAAAACCTCATTAAGGAAAAACAAAGACACAAAATTAGTTAGTATAAAAAACTTTAAACCTTAAACGTTATGAAATGAAATGTTTAATACAATAAACTTATAATTAATAATATTATAATATTTTAATACAATTATATCAATTTTAATAATTTTTTTAATAAATTTAAATCTATAAGTTTTTCTACATCAAATCTAATGCTATTACTAAATTCGATTCAATTATTGTTTTTCAGATTTGTTTGAAAACCAGTACCTGTGAAGAGAAAGAACTGTTTCTTTTCTCAAAACTTGTACCTCTGAAGTGAAAGAAAAATTGAGTTCGGGATTAATCAGTAATTCAAACTGGCAAAAAGAACTTTGCCAACTTTGTTGATTGATTTTAATGTAAAAATTACAATAGCTTAAAAATAAAGTTTTATATTTTGAATCCTTGTGTTGGTAGACAATCCAATTTGGCAAAGAGATGATAGTTTTTTTTTTTTTTTTTTTTTTTTTTTTTTTCAAAACTAGCAGTTTTCTCGAATCCGCAAAAAGATGTATTTATGGAAATACATCTTTTTGTGGAAATTCTGTAGAAATAAATCTTTTTGTGGAATGTCGCAAAAAGATCTATTTCTACAGAATATTTAACATTATTCATTAATAAAATGTGATTATTTTATCTTATTTGTTGTACATTATAAATAAAAAATTCAAGAGTTATGATTTAGTTATAACACATTAATTATTCATTAGAAAGAACAGAGCTGCAGATACAGTAACCACTCTTATAGCGGTCGTTTTAGACGATCTTTCTTAAAGTAATCATTTTTCTCAGAATGCAAATGCATATATGTTTTAAGCACCATTTATCAATCGCAACACCTAAAAAATTTAAATCATCTGGAACCAAAAGTAATCTTCACAGGATGAGCGCGTTGCAATTCTTTTGCACTGCAAAATTATCACATACTTCAATAATATTAACAGTGTACGAAGCTGAAAAATAGTTTCCATTTGTAAGTAAAAAAACATCTTTTGCTTGTTAAAAATAGTTAAACCACCAATATTTTAATATAATTCATTAAAAAGTTATGCTAAGTTTTGCTCAGTGAATTAAAAGCTGAATACTTTTCCTCCACTGTCCCTGAATGAAACACTGGACGAGATAGAGTGTTTTTTAGCTTTGCGTACTCGCAAACAATTTAAAACAGCAGAAAAGTTTGAAATGTTACAATAAATTTAGTGATTCTTTTGTACATAATGAAACTGGGAAGTGTAATAACGAACATGTATCAAGTCATATATTGTCTCAGAGGATTCTTTTTACCTACGCTTTGTATCTGCCTTGTAACTGAACTAAAGTGTCAGTCACTCAATGTTTTTAGCCATGTTACCTTCCGTCTTGGGATATACTCCTAAACTTATTGTCTAATACCTGCAGCTATTTATGACTGATGAATAAGTCTATGTTAGTTTTTTTTTAATTCGTAATGTCTGTGAAAATTGTTGATTTATTTTGTGTTCTACTTAAGCAAAACGCTGTTATTTATAATATAAAATTTTCATAGCTTTTTGGACTTATGATACTTTAATGAAACTGTAAAAATGGGGTAATGAACTCAGAACCATTAACTGGGTTAATGAGCAACTCATTCTGAAACTACATATAAAATTAAACACTTTTAGCGTTATTTAATCTCCTTAACCCTTTCTGCCCTGATCCTGGGGGCGTGTGCTACATTCATACGTAGAGGGCTATTTTATCGGTAGTAGAAGTTGTTTCACTTTTCACCGCAAGAGGTCGTATCTGGTAGCTTGTCTGCACATGTTTTTCTACTACAATATATATTCTTTGAGATTTTATGAAGGCAATTGCCGCGACATCCTAGTTTCTACCCCATAGGAAGAAATTTGTTAACATTTTGCAAGGGAGTTCTTTTAACAACCATAAACAATATTTTTGTAGACATTTTTTTTTCTCTATGCACGTTTCAGAAAATTCGGGGCAAAGAGTTAAAATATAAAATGGCTGCTAAAAATTTGTTTACAAATTTTACCTTGGATCTCTTAATATCTTTTAGTGTTTTGTTACTTAACTCATTGTTCAATGAGTTAAAACGTAAATAATTTAACTGTTTACTTTTAAATTTACTTTAAACCGGGCATTTTTAAACAAGTAGAATATTTATGCGTTTTCTAAAGGTTTTGTTTGCTCTTGTAATGTAATCTGACTAAAGAAGTGGTGGCCTTACCCTAAAGCGGCCTCTGTAATAGTATACGCACTCATATTCGAAAAACAGTGAAACGTGCTATACGCGTTAAGTAGTTTATTGTTAATTAACCAATTATTTTTTATTTAAACTTCTACTATGACTTCTTCTTTCCGTATTTCCCACTGGAATTCAAATTCGTAGGTCGAGTATTTAAGTCGAGGTCTTTGAATGTCTAAAAGCTAATCTAAGCTTCGTCTACAATTTAGTCCTATCGCTCTGCTCCGTTAGTGACTATTCCGTATTAAGCTATTTCGCTAGCCGTCGTTAGCTGACGTTAAAAAAGCGTCATTAAACTATTGAGTTACTCTTAAATAAGACAATTTATGTAGTCTCTGACTACGATACTTGAATTTGAATTACAGCTTATGTTATTTTAAACACCTGTAAGTGACGCAGGTTACTGTACACGCAAGTTGTGTCTTCACTTTAATTTAAAGATTTAATGATAATGTCTTTTTAACATTCTCAGGACTTATTAATCAGATATAGCGACAATTCGCTTGTCACTCTGGTAAGGTCTATTAACTAGATTTCTAGGAGAATCAACTAAAATTCAAAAAAATTTTTAAGACGAGAAACCATGTTTGTCCATAATGCAAGTTTGCATGTGGTGTAAAGACCTTATTTTATTCTAACCAATTATTTTTAGTTCGACTTCCTTTTCCTTCTGATTTCAGTCTCCTGCTGGAATATAAATTTTACTGATGTAGTATGCAAAATCTAAGTTTGTGCGAAGGAGTATTTAAACTGCGTTTTAAGAGTTCTTGAGGAGGAGTAGCGGAGTTAGTTCCGAGTTTATGCTGCGTGTTTAAATCGGCTCTCTAGTTGGTGTTAGACTCTCTTTAGATTATATGGATATTCTAGACTCGGCTCTGCTGTGTGCAGCCGATTTAGCGGTTTAGATAACTAAGGAGCCAGTCGTTTAGCCACCTTAATTCATTGTGATTTTACTTTTTTGTTTTCTGTTCGATTTATTTTAGCCACAAGTGGTGGTGAATTGCAAACACCCAGTGAGTTCTGTTAAATTTGAGTTCAAATAAAAAGGTTATTTAAAACCACCTTCTGCAGTATTTGTTCTTTAAAGACATAGCGAGGATTCGCTACGCAATCTTCTACGTAGGGTCTACCGTGAATGCTCCCAAAAAAACATGGACTGTAATAGTGGTTGTTTCAAACATTCAATAGATCCAATTTTCCCTGTTGGGTAAATCAAGTTCGATCATCGTTGGACAAATCAAGCTAATTATATTGTAAGCCAAATTCAAGAATTTCAGAATACTTTCTTCCTTTAATATATCACATGATACTAGAAATCTTGATATATTTATTGTAATGAATAAGCCAAGTTAGTACCATTCTGCTTCAACGAAACTGAATTAGGAGAACACTATAACTTACGAAAGCGCACACTATTGAGATTACAACATTCTTCTCAATTTTGAACATTCCCATTGCTGTAATATGAGCGTCCTTTGTAAGTGAATTTGTCATTTCACAGAAAGCAATGTAACTCAGTTTATCAGGATAGTTAGTATATGTGCTTTCTTTGACCCCCACACTGGAAATGATTGTTCGTCCGACTGTTTGAAAACTTTCCGATATTCGAGATGCAAGAAGGATCAGAATGAACAGTGACAGAAGGTGAAATACCCCAGAAAAAATACCGGCTACTGTAATAACTATTCCAACATGTGTTTGTAAAAATGTAGATGTTAGAACCAATATTTCACATAGCATCAGCGAAAACAGACAAAATGTCATTGGAGATAGTACTTGATCTGTCTTCGTTATCAGATAACAGAGTTTACGAAGTTCCTTTGCGCAGTAGTGTATTTCCTTAGTACCGAGATTCTTTTCCTTATAAAGCACTAACACCTTGGCTTCAAAATCTGAAATCAAGCTTCTAAGTGCTTGAAACATATAACAACATAACAGTACACTTACTCCCGGCACCATGACCTTAACGCAGACATGTCCAAATACCATGAACACAGAAAGAATAAACACATTTTCAAGCTGGAAATCAAATACTGAGAAACGAGCATGTTCTGGAAGAGAATCAGGAAATGCAAGGCAAATTACAGCTACACCTACAGTAAGCATTGTAATCAGAGTTAAAGCCATGAACGTATACTTTCTCCACTTTGTCTGCGAATATGTATTATTGGCGGAACAGTTTCGGGCTATCAGCTGGAATACTTTGAATACTACTTTACCTTTGAGAATCAAATAAAAGCGTATGATTGATCCTATCATTATATGAGCAAGCAGCATAAAGAGATGTCTATCCCTTGCGCCATACATACAAAATTTGTAAACATATAAAGCAATAAAATAGAGTGAAACAAAGTTAAATACGACGTAGGCTAACTTTTCAAGCACTTTTATCACTATATATTTTTGTTTCCCAGGAAAAGGCACTCCTAAAATTGCAAGGAGTTTGAAGATAAGTAACCAATTCTTGTAAATACGAGCAACAGGAGAACTGGTACTACACTTTTTATTAAAACATAGATCTTCTTCTATATGTGTCATTTGTAAAGTTGACATTTTAACAGTTCCTATGGCAGATGTTTCTTACAAAGAATTTAATAGATATTTATTTAAACCATTCCTATTTAATGAAAGTTCTTTTGAATCCTTGAATACAGATATTTTGGGAAACGTAGGTCTAACGTTAACGATTTTAACACCAAAATGAGAAGTCTATACTAATATACGGGTTCTTTCATAGTGCGAAAGCAGAAAGCAAATTTTATTTCATTCTTCACATTTAATATTATTAAACAGGTGTATTACATTCGATGATCGATTTAAGAGTTGATCAATAATTTGTTTCCAATCATAGAACGCGATGCGTATATTTCGCACCATGTTTGGTATTGTTGCTACGTAACACAGTGCGTCTGATTATTAAAGCGAATTCATGATTTTTTATTGGAGGGGAAAGATTTTGTCTTATCTTTAATTTTTTTCTTTCATACAAAGTACCAAATAAATTATCAACACTTTCTCCGAGTCCTAAATTTCTAAGTATTTAATTTTTAATTTTCATATATTAATTTACATTTTACGTTATTGCTTCTTAATATGTTTCTTAGACTCAGTGAACAGATGCGGACTTCCGCTGACACTTCGAATATAATAATTATCGTTATATTTTTAGCAGTAA